CACATCTTTCAAACAGGAATTAAGATCGGATGTTGAAAATTTATACACATCGTTAGAAAAGGAATTAAGATCAGATATACAAAACTTAGGATAAGAAATCTGATTTGTTAATTGAAAAACTAGAGGAAACAATCACAAAGCCCAACCAAAAGTTTAAAAGTGCATTAATAAAAATGACACAGTAGAGAAAAATGAATTAAAAACGAAGTTAAGCTATCAAACTGCCCTTTTTAATGAAACCAAGTCTAAAGATGTCACTTTCATTTTTTGATATATTTTTGACATCAGATTTTTTCATATAAGGGTGTATTCATATGTTTCTGGAGCCGTAGATTTAAAAAACGACCTCCATTTTAAGAATAGGCCACCGCGTTTCGATTTCTTTGAGTGTTTCGAAACTTTTTTCTTAAAAGGGTGCATTCTTATGTTTCCGGAGTCGTAAATTTTGAAAACGACCTACATTTTAAGATTAGGCCATCACGTTTCGATTTCTTCAAGTGTTTCGAATTTTTATCATAAAAGAGTGTATTCTTATGTTTCCGGAGTCGTAGATTTAGAAAATGACCTCTATTTTAAGATTACGCCACTGCGTTTCGACTTATTCAAGTTTTTCGAATTTATCCAATTTAAAGGTCTACTTTTATTATGGCGGAGCCTTAGATTTTAAAACAACTTACATTTTAAGATAAGGCCACTGTGTTTCGGTTTTTTAATGTTTTTGATTTTTCCTTCGAATAAAAAAGAAAATACGATGGATTAATTTATTTTTCAATAAATTAATAAAAATATCTAATCGAACTAAATAAAATATCTATTGCCTCATTTTCAATTTAATTTTAGTTATCTTTTTAATGTTGTGGTCTCCTGTAACAAAATTATAAGATTTCGAACAATTAGCTGAAAAATCTGAATACGGTAGGTTAAATTTAATACCAGTTGCTTTTCGGCTTTTTAGTTTGTATTCTGTGGTTAATTAGCTTCATAATATTTATTTATTTATTCATACTCGAAAACATATTGATGAAACTTTGCATTGAAAAAATCCAAAATGAAGCCTAATTAATCGAGATGCAGCGGCTTAATCATAAAATAAGAGATTAAATATTAGATAAATTTAAATATAAAAGATTAGAAAAATTTCAATACGTCTCCGATAACATATAAGTAGATCCTTATACCGAAAAAGTAAAAAAAAACTTTTATAATCCAAAACATAGTGGCATAAACTTAAAATGGGGTCATTTTAAAAATCTACTACTCCAGAAACATAAAAGCAGACCTTTATATTTGATAAATTCGTAAAACTTAAATAGAAACATAAAAGCAGACCTTTATATTTGATAAATTCGTAAAACTTAAATAGAAACATAAAAGCAGACCTTTATATTTGATAAATTCGTAAAACTTAAATAAGTTGAAACGCAGTGGCGTAATCATAAAATAGAGGTCATTTTCAGAATTTATGGTTCCAAAAACATAAAAGTAGACCTTTAAATTGGATAAATTTGAAAAACTTGAATAAGTTAACACGTAAAAGAGTTATCATAAAATGGAGGCCAGTTTCAAAATCTACAGCTCCGGAAACATAAGAATATACCCTAACATCGAATAAATCAAAAAAACTTAAATAAGTCAAAACGCACTGGCGTAAATATAAAATGGAGGTCATTTTCAAAATTTAAGGATTGGGAAACATAAAAATACTCCCTTATATCGAATAAATCAAAAAAACTTAAATAATTCGGAACGCAGTCACGTAATTTTAAAATTGAGGTTATTTTCAAAAACTACTCATACGATAACAGACCCACACATCGAAAAATTAAAAATAATTAAATAAATAAAAAAAGGTTGAATTTGAAATGGAAAAGATTGAATTTGACTTGGAAAAGTTGAAATTGACTTGGAAATGCTATATATACTAGTGCAACCTATGTAAGATCTCATCTATCTTCACATGGACATGGCCGCCATTTTGTATTCTAGAGGCTTGATATCTTCTCCAGGACGAACAGGTGCTTGCCAGCCAATGAATTGCTACAACCGTTGTCACATGCTTTAAATAAAAATATAATTTAAATAATATAAAGGTATATATCGTTCGCCAATATTAAACATACAGTTAAAAATCACTCAACTGTTCCTGAACTATCTGTAAAATCAAAGTTTTCAACAATACTACTAATCGACAAGTGGATATCTCTAAACTAAATATGTGGTTGCTACAGAGTTCAAAACTGAATATAAAAAAAAAAAAACTCCCATAAACGACCCCCATTGGCATCATATATAGAAGTGATACGTCCTGCATTGGACGTATTACTTCCTGAGACTTTTGCCGTCTCGACCGAGGTCATGATTTTTTAAATATTTTTAGTATTAATAATTAATGTGTGAAATTAATAATGATTTGTAGTTTCAATTTATTTATCTCTTGATCAAGTAATGGGAGAACGTAAAAAACTATTTACTAAAATAAGATTTTTACTAAGTTGGAATAGCGATGTGGTTTTAAAGTTTATAGCAATATTGAAGGACTTATAATAATCAAGGCTGCAGCTTACATTAAAATTTCTTTGAATTACAATATCGTATGTAAGGGTTATAACGATGTATCGGCTTTAATGACGAAAACGCCATATTTGATGATTCAGATGGCTTTTAGAATGTGATTTTGAATGGATATAACAATTGGATTTACTGACTCGATTTCTTAGAGTTTTTAGAAGAAATGATCGTATATAGCGACATTTGAACTCCTAAAAACCTTCGTGTTTATATCTCACTTATCGAGGATATATTTTATTTCATTCATTCTATGTAAGAATCACATTTATAGGGCCAATTGCATTCCCACTCTTAGTGTTAAATTCATATTTCTGTTTAGTAGTTTAATAAGAATAAAGAAGATCAATAAATTCTAGATATAAGAAAAATTCTATACATGTTGCCGACTGCAGACTGAAGAGTCTAATAATAACTTGGCTCAAGAATTCAACATAAATCTTACAATTTGAAAAAATTACGTATCTAATTGAGGAAATGCTGAGTCAGTTATATCCAAAAAACAACGACTACCTATCTACTCACGACAAAATCGGTTCTTCTCAATATTCCGCTATTAGACAAGGAGCCACCGACAATTTTATTTAAAGGAAGGACTTATAGCTAGTAACCATTTTAAATTCTGGATAAACCTCATCTGAACACACAACTTTGTTTAGTCAGTTGAAAACTTGCTTTCAATATGAGAATTTAAATTAAAGAGGCGAAATTTGATGGTCTATTTAACAGAAAAACTGACAGCTGAAATTTTGATATGACGTAAAGAATATGTTTCTAAAAGAATACACCTTGACCGACGACAAAGTCATCACATTAGGGCAGTCCGATAGTAGTTGGTTGAAAAAAAAATTTCAAATAGTAGGGTTCTCTTTGGTTTCTTATGTTTTTTGTGATACTGATCTGAATTTGACGTTCTCGAACGAAATGTTCCATTTCGTATTGAGATATACGCAAAAATATCAAAATTTCCAAACTTTTTTACATTAATCCGAAACTGTGCATTTTATCGAAATTATTAGTATTAGTATTATCAGTACAACGTTAAAGAAGATAAAATTTACTATAAATTTTATGCATAGCTTTTTGATGTAGGGCTAACGGGTGAGCAGTAAGAGAATATTTATTTTTGTCAGTTTTTCTCCAAAACTCATAATCTATGAATCTATCGAAAAATTCAATATAATCAATTTGAAAGAGCATTAAGTTTCGTATGTACCTCATACAGACACGTTAATATGTAAGAAGATTAAACAGCTTTTAAAGCTCAGAGAATCATAGTCGTATTTCTCTTGTAGTATATGTCGTTCACAAACTAAGAGCTTTTTATCTTTTCAATGCTTTATTTTCGGCTAATTTATCAATTTTATAACAGAACTAGGATGTATAAACATATTACAAAGCTTTTATATATTCTGTTGATATGCATAACAATCATCACACAATTAAGGACCAAAATGCGTTTTCAAGTCTGAGCGGTCCAACCACATTTTGCTCATTCGCATATTACGACTCTACCTAAGCATGAATTATGTGAAGCTGCCAACGTTCTCCTTCAGTTAACCAACGAATAGATGTATATTTACAGATAGTAAACAGTATTGTTATATTTATCTTTTTTAAAAAAAAAATGTTTTAACTCTATTTTGCTTACATTTTATTCCTTACCCATGTTTAATTCCAATATAACAGCCAGGGCCGTTATTGACAGTGACAAGTGGACAGATATAGGTTATATAACGATGGTCCAGTCGTCTATAACAATCATACATTATAACATCGAAATTTACCAGGTCCCTTAAGGTAGTTATATTAATCCACTATATATTAATTCCAATTTAAAAAGAATATTATCGAATTTAAAAAATTCCCTGACTTCTCCGGGTTTTGAAAATTCCCTAACTTTTCCAGGTTTTCCTGGCCGGTCGCCACCCTGATTTAGGTTTTTTCTCATGTTATACCTGACTTCATATAAGAGGCTCTAACTATATAAATAAGAGTCTCTAACTGAAACACAAGAACAAATAGGCATTTTATAAATTCAGATTATATAATTAAACAAAAACTATGATTTTTGCTTATTACATACACGATTTTACACTTTAGGATTTTTACTGCAAGATATAGTACATTTTGACTTTTAAACTTCATGGAAATCTGCTCTGGTCTCCTCTAATTATAAGCATTTAGGGAATGTGCTTTATTGAAATAAATGATATTATGAAATATCACGTAGTTGGTTAGTGTAAAGGAAAGATCTTCGCAGAAGCTTACTTAATTGTCACCAAGTTGGCAACCTAATAACACAAAACATAAGTTGGTTTAGAGAAGTTGACAGTCAATGTGTTAATAAATAATGTTTTTATGGAAACAGTAAATGGAAGATTCTTTTGAGGCATAGCACTTATAGATTAGAATAACTTATCAAAATAACTCACAAATTCTAGATCAACATTGCCAGGACCAACATCAGCTTTCTTGTCTGGCTGCTGTGGAGGAGCCCGCCTATATGCGGACCTATCCTCATCTGGACGAGAGGTATCGGCTCTTGAGGCAACAGGTCTGGGCCTCGCAGTTTCACTACGGCTAGGTCTCTTCAAAGTAGCTGGTACAATCTATAAGGCACACAAGATATAAAATTTTTCAAAGGACACACTTATATAAAACTAAAACAATTCTCAGTAAATGTTCATATATGAAGAAGTGCTGCCACACATAACAAACAGTAATCAGTGACAAGCATTGTTGACGGTTGGTATAAGATTACATCGATTACACTGTACAAGGAATATCGGAAGTAATTTTCATGTGTCTTAAAGTAAACACAGACAATTGATCTAAAGATATACCATAAAAGTAGATGGTGGTGTGGCTGAGCGGGCTAACACGTGTGCACTGCACCTCTTGTTGCCCGACAACCTGATAATCAATTAAGTTTCAGATAAAAAAATAATTATGAATTCAAATCTGGTGAGAGTTTTAACTAGACATAATTTCCTCGCCCTCTCCCCTGTCCTCATTGTAGCCTAAAAGGCAAGGAAGGAGAAAAAGAAGAGGATGACCATAGAAATAAATAACTGCGCAGTTAAGGAGAGAAACATTTGTTCCTACCTACACTTCTTCCTTATAATAAATACTAGCTTTACCCGGCCACGCACTGCTGTGGCTCAGTATGGCAAAATGGAAAAGAAAATAGTAAACACATATGAGTGGCTTAATATCAAAAGACATCTGTCATTTTTAAAAAGTTGAGCTTACCCCATAAACAACATTTTCTCTGCTTTCTAAAAATGACAACTAGGGTTTACATTGGCTACTGGACAGGTCCACAGGTGGCGGATAGTGGAATAACCTTTAGATGTACAGGTCAGCTTTGAATAAAGGATAAACCAAATAAGCAGTCCTGGACCAGAGGTGGCAGCATCAACAGGAGCAGTTGGATGTCGCTTGGCAGGGCCTCTCACATTAAATACTGCATAATCCGAAAACGATGCTGTAACATGGAGAGTTGGTGCCGCCATCAAATAAGCACTGCCTCATACAATATGGGTGGGGAAACTCAAAGGCTAGGAGAGGATAACTCCAACAGAAAAGCTAAGGGTGGTCTGGACTCTAAGCTGTAGTGGAAGCAACCAGGCTCAAGGATGGAAACCTCTAAGCTAAATGACATGGCCCTCCAGGTTAGGGGTTGAGCGCAGAGCTAATGACCCTCCCTCGGAAAACAAACCTTGTTGAGAAACATACGAACAATAATAAACCAGATGGAAAACGGAAATTGAATATGGACTTACAAATTGCTACAGCCAGGGAAAATGGCAGAACTAATTATAAAATTCAAAGTAGACATAGTAGCTCTACAGGGAATAAGATGGATTGGCCAAGGAAGGATAGAAAAAAAAAAATGAGTATTCCATACTGTAAAGTGGAGCAGATAAAAAAACTGGCAGAAATGTGACAGGATTTCTAATTTCAAAGCAATTAAGAAATACCTATCTGCTATTTGAGCCTATTAGTGATAGAATGTGTTAAATTCGACTTAAAGGCAAATTCAGAAATATCACTGTTACATCTGCATATGCCCCCACAGAAGATAGTAATGATGAAAATGTTGCCAGTGTTCCTTCCCTACATAATGTGACAAATAAGAATGGTGAATTTCTATGTCAATTTGCAGAATCAAAAAATATGGTAATAAAGAGTATATACTTCCCTCATAAGGACATTTATAAAGGGACTTGGAAGGTGCCTAATGGCACAATAACTCAAATAGATTATGTCCCAATTTCTAAAAGACAGCTCCTCAACAATAGATGTTAAATCTGCACGTGGTCCTGATTGTGACACCGACCATTATATGGTTAGAATCAAACTCAGAGAGCGACTCACGAAAGTCAAACTTGGAAAACATCACAATACGAAATAGTGGAGCTTGAAGACACTAAAAGATCTGAGTAAAGTCACAGATTTAAAAGAATCAATGAAGAAAACTATGGAAGACAAACTGAAAGAGGACGCAGAGGAAGTAGAAAAGACATGGCATAGAATAAAAACCGTAATGATGAAATCGGCGGAGGAGGTAGTCAGTTTGGAGGATAGGAGTAGAAGAGAAGAGTGGTTTGACAATAAATGTTTAGAAGCATTAAAGAAAAGAAAAGACCATCGATTAGCCATGATGCAGCACTCCACTAGACAAATTGTGATTAAATATCAGACAAGTCGTAGAAAAGCTATAAACTTATACGAACAAAGAAAAGAGTGTACATAAAAAAAAAAGTTGAAGAAATTAGAGAAACGAAACGAGGAAATTTTATGCAGCTATAAGGGACATAAGCCGTGGCTTTTAACAAAAAATGGACAAGTGCAAAGACAAGAATGGCAATGTAATTGAAGAGAAAAGCCTAGTCTTAGACAGATGGGGAGAGCATTTTGATGAGTTATGGGATAAGAGTGAAGATGAAAAAAACAATGCTGGAGTATTGATCCCGAATGACACTGACATTGAGCTACCAGATATAGAAGACGTAACCGAAGCGATATACATCAAACTAAACTTATACACCTCATCCTTACGAAGGTTAACAGATACACGAAGACCGGGTTAATTGACTAACAGAAAGATTAAGGGTTAGAAGGACAGATTTCAGATTTTAAAAGACAAATGTCGACAATAACAGACAGACAGACAGAGAGAAAATATTACAATATATAGATGAATAGCAACACAAGTAGATGTTTAGGATATATTACATGCCGAATATCAAAATATAAACAATTTTTTTGTTTTTAAATGAATATAATCACGATTCTAAACATTAATCATAACTAAATGTTACCACCATTACAGATAGTACATTTAAAACAATAATAATTAATTTTGTTATGTTCTTACTTATCTTGGAGCCTTTACAATGTATTACAATGTATCTTATGGAAATGCTAAATAATATACTATCATATTTATTATTTCTAATTTTTTTTATTTTGTGGTGTTTCGAGCTTTCAAATAATAACATTACATATCTGACATGTTGCAAGGACTTTATTTGTTGCGCCAACATTAAATTAGCAGTGTGATCTTATCCCCACTGCCAAGTTCCTAAACTTAGCATTGAACTTCAATGGAATTCAGCAGTTCTATCGGATGCACTGGATCTAAACTCTGTGTTTGTTTTTTTCTCAATTAACAACATATTTATGTTGTTTTTCTTCATGTTCTGTGCTTTTTCTTTCGTGTATATATGTTTATATTTTATACTTTTTGTCTCTCTGTGTACCAATATGAGAAAGAACGTATATATAGTTCCTTTCTTTACCTTTATACCACAATTAATCCTGAGATTTTATTTCATTTTATCTTAGTGTTTGCCTATTATTATATGAATCGCTGTAAATATTATTACATTTTGTATCAAATAATTTTTCTTTTAGATAGCCTATTGTTTATATATTGTGCAGATATGTATATATAGATATGTATTTTTTTTTTCTCATCACAATAATAAGTAATTTTGAGAAGATTGTATGTTCATTAATATATATATATATATATATATATATATATATATATATATATACATATATCTTTTTTTTTTTGTTTATTTCTTAGTGGTTTCATACTACTTCTTAAATAATGTATATAATGTTTAAATTTTTATAAGTTGGTTTTTGGACAGATTCATATTTTATTTTTTATTAATTCATCTTTGTTATTCTAAGGGGACTTAGTCCCAGAATAAAGTTCTATTTTCTATTCTATTCTATTTACAATAAGTTTACTTTATATCAATAATTAGCTGATTTTAAATTAAAAATTTAGTAGGTAGAAATTTCCTCATATATTTTTCATGTTTTTAGACACCTTCCATAGTTGTTAACCTTCAAATAGAATCCATCTGGTCATTCCTAAACTCAGCATAAATACCAGTCTAACAATACTGGAACCAATTGATTAATGAAATCTATCGATGGAATTGGTGCTGAGTCTAGGAACTTGCTTCTACTTTTAACAAACTGAATAATAACACATTATAAGCTATAAAGAGAAAGTTGATCAAGAGAAAAATAAGTTTTAAAAACATTGTACCTATATTCAGAAACCACTAATCAACATTGAAGTGTCTAGTAATTAATATTCGTTACTTACTTCAGCTGGAAGATGAAGGTAGTTACGCAGGAAACTAATGCCCTCATTGGTAAGGTACCAATAAAAATGTCTCCATGCGAACTGCTCTTTGACATAGCCCCTTGATTTCAAGCTCTAAAACATTATATATTAAAGGTAAAATATATTATTATTTCATAACAATGGTATATAGTTAAAATCATTGCTTAACTCTGATCACTATAGAGATTTGGTTATTAAAAACAAAATTTGTGAAAAAATCATAATTCAGAATGAATAGAATGCATATTGCTTCCAATACTAAGTTAATACAATTTAAAATCTAACACACCATAAATACGATTGTACCTTTAAAATTTTGAGAACCTGCTGATCCCTCCGGGAAGTTAGACCATTACTCTCTTATTTAGGGGAGGCCTACATGTATTATACTTATGAGAACAGGCTATACAAAATTAATACCATGTATCTGCTAAATTAACCCATGGGAACATAAGAAATTTCATTTCAAAATTAATTATATATCAGTTGGAAAGCACAAAAAATGTAGTAATCCATCAATCAGTTACAGAAAGATTTATCTACAATTCCATGACAGCATAAATTAATTTACATTAGTAGTGAATTTTAGTAGGAGAAAAAGATACACTGCATTAACTTAAATCAAAACTATGCTTTTAATAACTAACTTTTGGATTGAAATTTTCACTAAGAACTCCTAATTCCACTGACATAATAAAAATAATTTCTCACATCATTACTCTAGTAATATTTTATAAAATATTTACATGCCCTCACCTGCATTGTCTTAATAACCTCAAGATTGGGTATAGTTTCCAGATCAGGATGTTTTAAAGCATGATAATCTTTTTTTGCTACCATGACTCCTTCCTTGAATAAAAACTCATAAATAGAATGACGGTTTTTCTTAGCTATCAGCATCTTGCAAATTAATTAATATCTGAAACAGATTCACAAAACTTAAATTTTGGTAAGGTTATGATACACTGAAATAAAACAACTAGGAACCAGAAAACTACCGAAAATTAACACAAATACAGAAAAGAATCATTTATTAGCAATGATACAAAACATTTTAATAAATAATAAACGATTAAATAAATAAATATAGATATTACGATTACCTCACAGTCCACGCCGAAGACCAGTCACAAAGAGGCTCAACAAACACTGCTCCCTGAATCGCCAGTTCACAGACCTGTTGTAAAGGCCATCAGTGCTGGTATATTTAGTTAATAAAATATTTTAATTTATAATTTAGTTTCCTATAGTTTGAGAAATTTCTATGCGCGTCCACAAATAATAATTATTTCATATTTTTTTAATATTAAAAAAAATGTAATGGAAACAATTATTTAAACTGGCAAAACAGATAACAATTAGCTAACTTAAAATTGAGACTAGTGATGGGGTGTGACAGAGATTTTCTGTCATATTTTTTTTTTTTTTTTTTTTTTTTGTTATTCCCTACCTCACCTTTTAGGCTACACGGGATTTTCATCGGGGGGGGGGTGAGGGCGGGGAATTTAAAATCCCCTCAGGCACCGGGACGCGAACTCGTACTTTTTTAATCTTCTCAAATATGTAATCCGGTTGCCAGCCAACTCGCGGTGCTGTGCACACACTCTAGCCCATTCGGCTACCCCGCCCCCGTTTAAATTTATATTAAAATGATTTTTTTGTTTCCTGTGATAAATTTTATATTTGATGGGGGATAATATCTCTGGGATCCTTTGGTTTATGTGTACAGCCCTGCAGAGAATATTTGAATTTATTTAATTTTTAATTAATTTTTTTATTTATATTTCAACAGTTAAATGAAAAACTTCCTGTTAATTATTTCAGACATAACTCATTCAGAAATATATGGCAATGAATGCTCAATTCATCTGAAGTTCAAAAAGTATTTTTAATAAAATTTGACGAATAACTATTATTTTAGAAATAATTATTCCATGATTATTTCTTTAATTCATTTATTAAATTAATGAAGTCAACAATGCCCAGATTGCTAGAACGAAAAAGAAATGATAGAGCGGAGTGGTCAGAGCTGTGATTTCACAGCGCCTACAGTGACGGTCACTGTTGGACCACAGTGACGGTCACTGTTGGACCACAGTGATCGTCACTGTTGGCGTACAGTGATTTCACAGCGCCTACAGTGACTGTCATTGTGATTTCGGTGCGCCTGTCACTGTGATCACCAGCTCCGGCCCAGTCACAGTGACAGAATCACAGCTCTGGCCATATGGCCCCAGCACTAATTGAGACACAGTATATATTTTTACTGCAGGGACGAAGGATTGTTCTAAAAAAAGGTATCAGTTCAAGACTTTTGATCCAAATAACAGACGTCACCAACGTAATTGCCTGCTTTAAAACATAGTTTTCGATGTTTTTGTTGTTAACATTTAAAATCCTTGATAATAAATATATATGAGCCTTTCAGTTGACACTAATTACTAACTCAAAATTTCAACATTTTTGAGTTATGTCATTTAATGATATTTCTGATTGGAAATTTTATAATATCTGTACAGACAGTGACACTAGCAGATCCGGGGGGGGGGGGAGGGGCTTGAGCCAGGAGGTTTTTTTTTCTCATATATATAATGATAATTAATTTAAAAAAAGAAAATAACTATCCATATGACATGTCTAAGTGATTCTTGAAGTCCTATTAAATGTAATTAAACGAACAATAATAGTTTAAGAGATAGTTTTTAATATTGCTGCGGGTCACCAGGTCGTATCGAAGCGTATCCCATGAGGCGGTGCAGGTATTAGCAGGAGGGGTACCTCTCGACCTTCTCCTGCGAGAAGATATGATGAGGCACATGTTCAAGAAAAACGGCTCAGCAGGTCTACCGGAACATCTTAAGGTGAGAATTGACGAGAATCCTTGCAAATGGAAAAACATTATACGGGACGACACATTGGAGGAATGGAACCGGCGATGGGTGATAACCCCCAAAGGATCTACCTTGAGGAAGTACTTCCCCACCGTCCGGTCACGTTTAGAAGCAAGGTGGATCGTCCCAGACTATTGGATCTCGCAATTTCTCACAGGCCATGGGGGCTTTCGAGCAAAGCTTCATTGCCATGGGATGGACATCAACCCCCTATGCCCTAGCTGCGGTGTTCCGGAGACTGCTGAGCACATCATAGTGGACTGCACCGCCTTTGAAGACCTAAGGGCTAAGTTACTGAGGGAAACCGGTCTCTACATTCTCACAGAGAACGATTTTCCTCAGTTAGTCACTGCGGAAAACTACCCGTACTACAAAGATTTTGTGTACGGGTGGAAAGTCGCGGTGGGGCCAGCCCATTTTAATTTAAGAAGAGGAGGAAGAGGTGCTATACCATTGGCGTGAAACGGATGAGGAAAGCACCCATGAAGAAAGAGGAAAAAATGAAGAAGGAGCAGAAAGAGCAGAAGAACGAGATTCATTTGCAGCAGTGAGATGTTGAGCTGACCTGCCTAACATCTTACTACTGCAGACACCCGTATTGCCTACTAGGCACGGCAGGGTTGATAAATAAATAATAAAATAAATAATAGTTTTTAATATTTTTTTCTATAAAATATGGTTATATTTTACCATTTTGGGGAGGGCTTCAGCCCGAAAGCCCTCCCCCTCTCGTAGATCCGGCTGTGGACAGTGAGGAAGTCGATTCCAGAGTAGCTGATGGTAGTTTTGAAATATGGGTTTACATTTTCCCACTAGAAATATCACTAAAATTAATAATAAAAAATGTTGAAATTGGAGTTAATCATTCTGTCAAATGAAAGGTTCATATATTACTGTCATGTCAAAATCGAAAAGACAACAAGAAAGAGGACTGTACAAAAATATTTAAGCTATCAGCAGTAGGGCCACACGAAATCATACTTTAACCACCCACCGAGAAGTATTAGATGTTGCTTTAACCTCGAAAGCACATCGTGTACTAAATCAAGGAACATGACTGCAATATAGCCAGTTGCAAGAAAGAACACCTAGAAACTATTAAGGCTGCCAAACCCTGAAGGATCTTAGAAATGCCAGAAAACATTTTTTTAGCTGCCAACAACTGTTTACTAAATGGAGATGTCTCCTCGCTTAGAAGACTTTCCGGCCATGAGGGATTCATCGCCGTGCTTTCCGACAGCATTATCGGGAACTAGCACTGGACCTCAGCAGCAGACTCAACAGACCGCAGCAGCCAGTGCTGCTCTCTAATACCATCCTGTATTGGGAGAGGCATTACCCACTCGGTACCTTTGATGGTTAATGGTTCTTCCCATGTAATACAGATAATTGGTAATTTTAACAATCTTATCCACCCCCTTTTCACCCTACTCTAACAATTATCACAGATTACTCAAGTCTGGTGCGTTGCCTATACATAATTTAACCATATGCATGTTGCCTATTTTCCTTTGGAACGCTAGCGGAATCAACCAATATAGAACAGAACTTGAATTATATTTACGCGAAAAACAGACTGATGCAGCATTGACCATTGAAACTTATCTGGAAAACTTGTTCAAAATTTGTTATTCCAAAACAGATCACCCTGATCCGACAGCACACGGTGGAACAGCACTATTAATCAAAGCATCACTAAATCATTACCCGTGTAGCAGCAACAGTTTCCGGCATAGTTTCCGCTCTTACTACAGGTACATCAAGTTTGTCTACCCGCTACCGGGCAGCGCCCTACAAGCTCTTGCTACAAGGAACAACGAGATCGCCTTCCCGCTACCAGGCAGCGCTCTACAAACTGGCCCGTGCAACATACCAAAATTGTATCTTATATTTCTTATTGTATTATAAAATACTTAAAGTGTAAATTGAAATATGCATATTCATTGTAAATAATTTTTATTAATAAAGTTTAACGGCGATAACACATACTGACCAAAGCTCTGTTATAGTAACGGTTCTTGGTAGCCGGTTTAGTCTTGGCGGAATGAATACCCCAGTCAAACCTCAATTTGTCAGCATTACAAAGATCATACTTCTACACGATCATTTCTGTAGTTCGTTCTTCTACAGGATCATTTCCACTTCAATCGGAGTAAGACTTCAGTACCAGTGCTCTGTGGCAGTACTGACTTCGGTACCGAACACTGGTATTAAACAGTGTTTATTGTGTCATCTCGAAAAGTTTGTTTACATTTCGATTTGATAAAGCTTTTTTGGCTTGGATAATTGGGACCACGGTGTCCATGGAGAGTAAGAACCTTCCTATTTTGGATTCCACTTCCGATCCGAAGCAGGGCCAACTCCCAGGGACCGTTATCACTGCACTTTCCAGGTCCGTGTCATTTGCTCCTTCCCTTCAACACCCAACTGTAACGTTGATAGAAGATATGGATTCTGAATCGAAACGAAAAAGCCAGGCTAACGACGGCTTCGAAATGGCTAAGAAGACCGTAAAAACTAAGAGAATTGAAGTACCTTCTGTAGTAGCTACTGCTAATAAATATCTCCCATTAAATAGTATTTCAACCGAACCTCGATCTGCTAATGAAACTGTTAATCAACCAGCTCCCCAAACTACTTCTCAAACAACCCCAACTAAAATACCTCCGATAGTCATAACAGGCACACATTCAACAACCTTTATAACGGAATTATGACTTCACTAAATATTACAAATTATTTCCTGCGCCGCACAAGAAAAGATTTACGTATCCTTCTCGTTTCTGCCAATGATCGTACTCCTCTCTTGCGTGGTCTAACAGAAAATAATATTAAATTCCATACATTCGCAGTTCGTGGAGATAAGCAACGACCTCAGCGGTTTATACTAAAAAATCTCGATCACCAAGAAGACATTGAATATGTTAAGGCTTCCCTAGCACCAGTTGGTGTAATGAATGTTAGAAGGTTGCAAAAAACCGCTCCAGATGGATCAAAAATCACACTTTCACCCATACTTGTGACTGTCCCTGCCAATGTCACAATCGAGGAGATTCGAGCCATAAAAGCGGTCAATAGAGTGATTTTTCGAGTTGAGAAATATATAACTCGGCGAAGCAACCTCATCCAATGTTTCCGCTGCCAAAAATTCGGACATACGAGAAACTATTGCGGACACATAGAAGTATGCGTCAGATGCTATGGACATCATAATATTTCAGCATGTCCCCGACAGGGTCAACCAAAGTGCCCGAATTGCTCACAGGAACATGTTGCCTCGTTTCGCCAGTTCTCTTATCGACTTCAGTACAGTGAACAACTGCAGAAGAGAAAAG